GCCCACCTGGACCTCGTGGACGCTCTGGAGAGATTGGCCCAATTGTGAGTGCAGCTGAAATATTTTTTTAAAGACATCAAGTTTGATGTACATATCAATATGAAAAGAATATGTCTGATCATTTTTTCTTCCTTTCTGCTCTCTAAAGGGTCCACCTGGTAATGCAGGACCTCCTGGTCCTCCTGGTCCCCCTGGCCCTGGCATTGACATGTCTGCCTTCGCTGGGTTGGCTCATACTGAGAAAGGACCCGATCCTCTGCGTTACATGCGTGCCGACGAGGCCTCCAGCTCTCTTAGACAACATGATGTGGAGGTGGATGCCACACTGAAGTCAATCAACAGCCAAATCGAGGACATCCGCAGCCCAGACGGTTCCCGCAAGAAACCTGCACGCTCCTGCCGAGACCTGAAACTCTGCCACCCTGAATGGAAGAGCGGTAAGAAATTAAGAAGAAGCGATTCCGATTTAAATTTTACATTAGGAGAATATTCATATACACCACGACAGAGCTTCCAAATGCTCAAAACAAGGGTTGTCCAATCAAGTAGTGATGGGTCATTCATGAACCATCTGTTCGCTGCGTCTGTCACATGACAAATGAACGAAAGACTCGGAAGGTAAAGTAAATATTTCACTTTTATTCACTTTCCTGCTGAGTTCAGCTCCAACCCCACTTAAACACACCTAAGACAGCTAATCAATGTCTTACAAGGCATACTATAAACTTCCAAGCAGGTGTGTTGAGGCAAGTTGGAGCTAAACTCTGCTGGATCTAGTTTGGACACCGTCAAACACACTTGCTTGAATGATTTGCTCACATTTGTTCATTTGAGGCACATGCTGTGACTGAGCCTAGTTTCGCCCATGTTTTTTTTTTTTTTTTTTTACATTTCTGTCACTTACATATGGACATATGGAGTTCACTGGCACTGTCGCTTTTGGTTGGGTTTTAAAAGAAAATGAAATATTCAGTTAAATTATCGATTGACTGCACTGACATTATCGAATGAGAACAAAACCTGAACCGAGATGAGCTGAATAATGGCAGAACTGTCTTCTGAACAGCTGCTTAAAGCTGAATTGAACTTGTTTCATAAATAATTTATGTACTTTACACAGTTGTTGAACTGAAGTCAACCAACACCGAACTGAATAATGCAACTATTGTCTTTTTAGAGCTTTTTACAGCAGAATTTTTGTTTTATCTCCTATTTGATGAAGTTTGCAGTTATTTTTTCTGTTTATTACTATGCAGCTGCTTTGAAAATACTTATATTGTATAAAGCACTATATAAATACAGGTGACTTGACTTGAATGTTTGGTCCCAATCCACAGGTGACTACTGGGTTGATCCTAACCTTGGTAGCAGTGCTGATGCCATCAAAGTGTTTTGTAATATGGAGACTGGAGAGACCTGTGTGAAGCCCAGCACTCCCAAAATCCCACGCAAGAACTGGTGGAGCAGTAAGGGCAAGGGGCTGAAGCACGTGTGGTTTGGAGAGAGCATGAATGGTGGATTCCACGTGAGTATAATCCTTTCATTTTGGAGATGATCACTTTAAACTTTAGTTAAGTGACCACAAACAAAAAGAAATCATAAAAAAAGTCTGTTACAAAAAAGGCACATTTGGATTTGATTATGAAAGTTGTTCCAAAGCCACCCTCATGTGGTTGAGATTACAGCTGGTTTGGGGAGCTGTTCACAGTTCTGAATTGCTGTTGGTCCATGGTGCTGAAAATAATCAAATCAAAAATCAGCAGGGACAAGTAGCTATGCTGAAATACTCCCTCCTTTCCAGTTTGCCACGTTTCCAGTTTGTTCTAGTGTTACATTTAACTTTTCAGTGATATTAATGACCAGTGAGATTGATAAATTTGTCCCCCTTTTCTAACAGTTCAGCTATGCTGATAGCAGCCAGACTCCTAGTACGACCAGCATCCAGTTGAACTTCCTGAGACTGCTGTCTACTGAGGCCTCTCAGACCATCACCTACCACTGCAAGAACAGCGTGGCTTACATGGACCAAGCCACAGGAAACCTGAAGAAGGCCGTTCTGCTGCAGGGCTCCAATGATGTGGAGATCAGAGCAGAGGGCAACAGCCGCTTTACATATGGCGTGGTTGAGGATGGCTGCAAGGTGAATCACAACATATAATATACTTTTCAAGCATGCTGGCTATGGTTAAAAAAATACATTTTAATGAAATGTATGAAATTATACACACTACTGTTCAAAGGTTTAGGGCCAGTAAGCTCTTTTCTAAAGAAAACAATACTTTTATTAATCAAGGAAGCAACAAATTGATTAGAAATGACAGTTAGATGTTAGAAAACATTATTTCAAATAAATGCTGATCTTTTGAACTTTCTATTTATCAAAGAACCCTAATAAAACATATCATGGTTTCCACAAATATATTAAGCCACACTACTGCTGTCAAAATTTATAATAATAATAAATGTTACTTGAGCACAAAATCAGCATATTAGAGTGATTTCTGAAGGATCAGGTGACTGCTGAAAATTCAGCTTTGCCATCAAAGGAATAAATTACATTTTAAAATAGAACATTATTTTAAATTGTAATAATATTTCACAATATTTAATATCAACTTACATGTCTTTTTTTGCTGTCTTACAGAAGCACACTGGTCAGTGGGCCAAGACTGTGATTGAGTACAAAACTCAGAAGACATCCAGGCTGCCCATCGTGGACATTGCTCCAATGGACATCGGAGGAGCAGATCAGGAGTTTGGAGTGGACATTGGTGCAGTCTGCTTCTTGTAAAAAAAAAACAAAAAACACATGTGGATTGAGATAAGACATGGAAAAATACCAATGACGAGCAATAACTGTGAGGATGCAATACACTCTCCAAATAACGAAATATGGAAGAAAAGAAAAGAAATCTGAAAATTGACGAAAGTTTTTTTTCTCTAAAACACAAAAAGTCGTGCTGTCCATGTTTAGTGTGCAGGAAAACCATCGCTAAATGGGATTGCCCCAAAAAGTCTCTCCCTCTGAAATCCAGCCATGTTTCCCACAAGTCCCCAGTGCAGCGCCCTCCTCCTGACGGGAGCCAAGAGGGGGACAGAACAAGTGAGCGCAACAAGAAGAATAAGAGATTCAATGAAAGACAGAAACATGGCTTGATGTCATCACATCCTGCAGAAGGTGGGTGGGTGGGTGATGCTGTACAGCGTCATGGCTGGATACCACAGTAGTCCCTCCCACTAAAGAAAAAGGCCATACCCAGTCCCACTCCACCTCTCCTTCTGCCTCCTGACTGTGACTCAGAAGAAAACATCACATTATGCAAAATTTTGTGAAATGTTAAACCTGAGGAGGGAATAAGTTTATATTTACTGTGTATAATAACAAAAAAAAATCTTGATTCAGTCTTTACTGAAGCAGCCAGATCTATATATTTTCACAATTATGTGTTTGTGTGTGTGAGCATGTGCCTATACACAACTACAATTTTTTGGGGAAAGTGCAGTTTCATTTCTTTCTTTCTTTTTTTTTTTTTTTTTTTTGTAAATCAATATTTTTTTCTCATGATTGCCCAAACAAGGAAGTTTTGGACCTTTAACATAACAGCAAAAAAAGAAAAAAATCTAATAAATTTGGAAAACATCTCTATTTTTTTGTTTATTTGCATGATCTTCATTTTTCAAGAAAAGCTACCTCACACAAGAAAAAACAAAGTTAAAATCTGGATGTGAACGAAAGCAGCCTGGGGTTCGAGAAACTTCAGGAAGACACCCCGGCACGGCTCAGTCCATCTTCAGAAGGTGCTATTTGTATTGATCTATCAGTCAGTATTTCCCAGAATTCCCAGACCATCCCACTCCCTAACTGGCCTCATTCAACACACACAGCCTGCTCAGAGGATGCGGATCTACACGGGATGATCAAAAGACAGAGGGACTCTTTTGGCAATGCCGGAATTTTGCTCCCAAAGGATCACCGTAGCACTGAGCAGGATGTGTGTGTGTATGAGGGTGTGTATATTTTTGTTATAATTAATATTATTATGATCTTGGTCTTTTTTTGTTTGTTTGTTCTCTCTGTTTGGTTCTGGTTTTGTTACGATTTTAATTAATGTAAATTGAAAATAAAGGAAAAAACAAGGAATTATGAAGTCAGATTTTAATTGTGTTTTTAATCGTCATGAGTACAAAATGTTAAATGTGTGGATTTGGAGAACAAAATCATAGATGCAATTGCTTGTTTGCATTAGTTCCATGTCTATGCATTGTATTTTTTGTGAATTTCCTGGAATAGAAGCATACAGGGTATCAGACACAAAAAAGGCTTGCACAAGTACTCGGCATACACCCTGTCTGAATGAAAGTCAACAAATTCAGAAGTGACTGTACCTTTAGAAGACATGTTAGGGTTCCTTGTGGATATAATGTTCCAGCAAGTCTTCTTGATCAATTACCAAAGAAGCAAATCAATAATAATCAGGAAGATTTTCTTACCAAAGTGATAAAATGTTGTGTTGCAGCCTCCTTGTCTGGTGCAAGTCAGGCAATTTTTGATCAACAGTATGTTGAAACAAACATTTATATTTGAGTAATTTTCCCGACAATTAAAAGCCCATAGAATCATTCTCAGACTTTTTATAAAAGAGAACTATGTAGGCCTAAATGGGGATTTCAAAAGCAATATTTTAAGAAAATATAGCAAGTTACACAGAAACTGCGCTTCACGTCATGGTCCTGCATGGTCACCCAGCCATTTTTTAAAACATGATTAAATACTCTACCTACAGTCAACTTCTGTTTTAATTTAAACACTGTCCGGTAAACCGCCCCATGATCTATTCAGTAAAAAAAAATCAATTAATCCCCACCATCAGTAAATTGCTCATGCTTTCGAAACGTGAGAGTCCGCGCACCCCGTGACCTTGTTTTGACCAATCAGAAGCGCCATTGCGCTCACTAGGAAATCCTCATTGAGAGAATTGCATTGAGCTAAGAACAGCAACAGAGAGCCAAAACAGAGCAGGCGCAGTACACGAGTCTTATGAAGGCAGCTTGACCGTCTGTGAGCCAGACTGAATCGGTGAAAAAGCATTATTTTTTGCTGTGAGACTCTCGCCATGTCGTGAGAAGAGATGGTCCTGTCTTCGGGACTGACATAACGGTCAAAGGTAAAGCGTTCGAGCCGCGTATTTATTTCTATATGCTTTATTTATTGGCTTGTAAAAAACGCCTTACATAACTTGGGCCGGTGACCTAATTTCTCGTTTGTTTTCCCATTGAAGTTTTTCCAAATGTATTTCTTATATACGTTTTTCTCTGAATATCTCGTTTTTATGGAACATTGTGGGGAACCCGAAATGTATAATTTAGCTGCTACATTAACGTTAAATCTTTTAACTAACTTACAATGTATGTCCGCGCAGTTTCACCTCAATTACTTAGAATTGACCTAATTTCTATTCCAGTAGCCTAGTTAAGTTATAGATTAGTGTGTTCGTGGAACATTGTCGCGTGCCACTGTAAAATGTGTGTTTTTTAATGTAAACAAAATTATTACTAAGTAAGTAAGTAAGTTACATTTTTTCATCAATGTTTTGCGAAGTACAGTTATGAAAATCTGACCTACCTTTCTTCGTTCCCACAGAATTATTTTAATGTTTAGGTGTTGGTGCTTTTGGTACTATATCCAGATTTTCTTCTGCCTATGAGGTGTCCTACACATGTTGTACATTTAAAGCTGATAGACAGTTTAAACTATTGGTAATCTTAAATTGGTAGGTCAGCTTTTCAGTAGACAGCCTGCTGCCAGGTTAAATGTCTTTAAATAGATATTAAGGCAAGACTCCATATTATATCTCCATATTAAGCCAGTTTATTAATTCCAATACATTTAAAGTCAATAGTTTTATTGCAAATGTTTTGTTATGTGGGCTACATAATAATTAATTAAATATGTACTAATTTGCTAGATTTCCAGAACACAAATCTGAACTTTGGTTAAAGCCAGGTTCGAAATTATTATTATTATTCAATAATAGAGAAAAAAAAAGAGAAAGTTTTTTTTAACCAAATGTCTTTTTGGTAAAATCGTTTTATCACTCCATAAATCAGGAAATACAATCAAAAGCCAGAAAAAAAAAGATCACTATTTGTTTTTAGGGAATTTTTTTATTATTATAAATCAACCAAATGAGACTGTATATGAATAACAAACCATGTGTAAATCCTTTCAGAATATAGAAGATTTGGGGCAACTGAAGTGGAGATTTCTGGCTCAGTGCATAAGAAAACAGCCTTTAAATATGTATTGTAATTGAGATGCAAATAGAAAATGTGTTTTAAGAAGTCTTATAGTCTGAAAGAAGTGTTATTGAACATAGCAAAATATCCCAAAATCTCAAAGTTGACCAGTGCTTGGAAAAAAAGCACTGGTTTGCTGGGTCACTTGGTTTTGCCTGTAGTATTTTGCTTCAAACAAAAATGTAACTGTGCAATAGTGGCTGGTGTATATTATGCACTTTTTGTGATAACACGTGATAACCTGCTTACATGGAAATTAAGTGGTCCTGTATTATACAAATGTAAGCCATGTCCTGTATAATTAGCTATAAAAGTATAGTGTTTGACACTTTTCAAGCAGGGTTCAAAGATGTCCATGATTGTCAGGCAGGCTTCTATAAAAGTCACATCATTAATGAGAGGCAGTATGGCATTGACGTATGACTAATATTCAGTCCAGTACAGACGTCACGTCACGCATCTTGAGTCAGACTGAGGAAAAGCCAAGAATTGAATGTCATGGAGTGACTGCTCAGATGGACAGATTTTATGTCCAAATTTGGAGGTTTCCTCTTCCATGAATGGAAAAGCTCAAATCTATACCAAATGGTATCTGAGCAAAATTTTAAAATGGCAATACATTTTTACTGTATAGGTTATTGTGATGATGCTTATGTCTATCAAATAAGAAAGAAAGTCTTACAGACAATGTCATCAGTAGATAATTTAATTCCATTTCTGTTATACGGTGATGTTTTGGAGATTTCCTTAATTTCAGTCTTTTACAACATTTTTCCTGTCTCTGGATCTCAGGAAATGCTGTTTCTAATTATGATACCAACAGTAGGATGAACAAAAAAAAGGATAAAATTTGGATTGTAGGGTCCCAAATAAATTATTTATTTTATTTGATACATTTAAATGACAGAAATGTTATGTATTTTCACTTTTCACACTGTTCTTTGATGGTTTTATGGATATTCATTTTATTGTTATTTTGCTTGAGATTATATGAAAAATATTATGCAAATGGCATCCTTTCCAATTAATCAACAGCCTCTAGAATGAATAAATTAACCTGTCCTGATTTCAATTATTTTTTTCTCTCGGAACAGCGACTCAGTGAACATGGCCCCTAATTCCATCCACTGGTTCCGAAAGGGACTCCGTCTCCATGACAATCCTGCACTTCAGGAGGCAGTGCGTGGGGCAGACACAGTTCGATGTGTCTACTTCCTGGATCCCTGGTTCGCTGGGTCGTCTAACCTTGGTGTCAACAGGTGGAGGTTAGCGCATTTCTACAAGAAAGCATCTTATAATCAACACTCCTTTTGAGTCAGGCACCTGTTGCTTTCATGTAAACGATTTCAGAATTTGGTTCCAGTCAGATGTGAACAGTCAGATATGCTATTTAAATGCCCACACATTGAGTAATCTGACCACATGGCCATGTATGCAGATCGATCCAGTACTCTAACAGTAATTCACGAAGAAAGTAGGCCAAGTCGCAGACCAGCAGATGCTTCGCTCCCAGAAGACAATCACACAGTCTGTCCTCAGAGCCTGTCATTCAGCTCTGCTCACCTACTGAATGGATACAGTGTGATCTGATTGAATGTTAATGAGAGCTAATTCAGCAGATTAAAAGATGAAGCACCTGTGACTAAATCACCTGTTGAGCTCTTTAATGGAAGAGAAGAGATCGCAGGTCACATTGTGTTTAAAAATAAATTGCCTTTAAAAATAATCATGTAAGTTTACTGCAGTTAGGACACTTTTTCATTGCTATTGTGTACACTACTCATTACATCCTCAAGAGGGACCTGTTTCATGTCAGTGCATCATGTCATAAATGTGCTTGATGTTATGCGCAAGAAAATTAGCAGTAACTCAATCAGTTACATTAGTTTTGTCTGTCAATGTGTTTTACTGAGTTAATGATACCTTGGGGCTCAACGTTAAGGATTTTTTTCTACTATCCTGATAAAAGTAGTCAATAAATAAAATTTAAAAAAAAATCATTGGTAAAGTTATTGTTTTCATTGTGTTTAACCCATGCAACCTTAATAAGAAATTTCACAATTCTTCAAATTTCACACAAATTTGATACCACACAGCAATTTTGAATCATAAATGACACCATCTTGAAGAATCATAACGACATAATGCGATAAATAATACTGCTTTTTTGAGTAAATAAAAATCTTATCAACTGAACTGGACTGATTGTTTTTCACTAGATGTCATGGCCAGTAATGAAATTCTACACTTTATTTTAAAAGACAGACTCTTTTCTCAGACTAGGCATTGAGAGAGTTGTTATGGTTAAAAGTCACTGGGCTAATTTTATGCCCTCCATTGTTGGAGACCATGTGTGCTGCAAATCTAGGCCAGGGCAGTTACATAAGTAATGTTGTATGGCTAGGCAGAGTTCTGGAAAATAGGTTTTCCATCCTCATACTCCCAATAGCTATTAGTTTTTGTGTTCTGTCTCATTCTTTTGTATTTTATAAATGCAGGTGTGTGTGTTTATATGCGTGTTGGTAGAGTTGTGCAGTTGTGTGTGTCAGTGTGTCGACTGGGCAACCTTGTCTGGTCCCTAATCTGGGCTTTGGTTGCAGACTTAGTGCTGAGTCAGGACGCTAGGACCAAAGTTTGTTCTTACCTGTCGTGACAGTGGGTCTGTTATCTGCTCTGTTGCGCAAGGTTCTGTGCTTGGCCCCCTGCTGTTCAGTCTGTACATATATACTAATAATGCATACTACAGGAAAAGCAATTGAGCACAGAATATGAACGCAACTTGTTTAATTGTACGTTAAGCGTTTTCCTCCCATAGAAAACCAAGAAAACGATTAATGAGTCTTAAAGGACAAATCCGCCTCAAAATGAACCTTTGGTCTATTAACACATTGGTACCTATTCAACCGTTCTCTGAGATTTGTTTTCATGATAATCGAATGTAAAGAGTTTTTTCTGTAAAAACTGTTTAGCGTATAACGCTAGTATATAGGGCATAGAGTAATGAAAAATAAAAATCGCTAGTTAATACCACTAACAAGGCTTAAAATAGCCCACACTAACACAGTAGAATAATGCGGGTCCCTACATGCAAAACGAAGCATTGAGAACTTTGTAAGTGTACAGACCGTTTAATAAGAAGATACTATATAAAGACAGTCCACTTTGCGTATATAGGCAGGAGCCATCTTTGGAAAACAGTCTCGACAAGTCGAACCATGAACGCCGTTCATACAGTTCAGAAGTTTGCTGAACGTCATACACGCCAAGTGAGCTGAACTGTATGAAGTTCAGCGAACTTCTGAACTGCATGAACAGCGTTAGTGTCGTTAGCTGCAGTGCCGTCACATACAGTAGACTGTATATAAAAAGGAGAGAGGCTCGGGAGTGCCGATCCGGAGACTTCACATAGAAATAGGAATACTGGCCTTCAAAGGTATTAGCAAAACCTGACAAGTAGATCATTGTAATGTGTGATTACAACCCCTTCACACACAGGCAATAAAAAGGATTCATTTTAGAAGAAAAGTTACATATAGCACCTTTTAATCATCTTTTTCCTGATTTATTCATTTGCTTTCTTTAAAGACTCTAGTACTTATGTCCCTTTAGCTGGTAAGGCAGATGTGCATAGCAGTTAAGCTCCTAACATTTTAAACAGGTCATGAATGAACAGATTTGTGAATGGAAACTTAGAGTATCTGTATGTTTGAGGGACAGCTTGCAGAACAGGTAAATCCTCAGGGATTTGCTGTTGATCAGTAGTTCTCTAACTTTTCAGGCCAAGTCCATGGTCCAGTCAAATCAGGACATGTCAGTACCATCTGTTCACTACAGTGTTCACTATATTTGGGAATTTGAATCAATATAGCCAATCTACATTTGTAAAGCATAAAAAAGTCTAATAAATTGTGAATGGCAATAGTTCCTAGCAGTAATGTTTAGGGAGTGCTCAAATTTAAGGGTTTTAAAATATAATACTAGTCTGTATAATACAAGTCAGTCATGTTAAATTTTGTTTTTTATCCTGACAGATTTCTCCTGCAGTGCCTGGATGATCTTGATTCCAATCTAAGAAAACTCAATTCCCGCCTTTTTGTCATCCGAGGACAACCAGCCAATGTTTTTCCACGCCTTTTCAAGGTAAAATTCTTTAGTTGGAAATACAGTTCTTGAATGTAGTGTCAATAATATTTGAATATAAATATTGAAATAACTTGCAGTATTTCTTTCTGAAAGCCTCACATTACAATTTAGTTTAATCCACTGGCCTGACTTTTTTGAAAAAACTATCCATTGTTTGTAATCTGATTTTGCAGGAATGGAAAATATCCAGGTTGACCTTTGAGTATGACTCCGAGCCATTTGGGAAGGAGAGGGATGCAGCTATTAAAAAGCTTGCGATGGAAGCTGGAGTTGAAGTCATTGTCAAGACCTCACACACCCTTTACAATCTTGATAAGTAAGAGTTATTTTCATTAAATCTGAAATGATTTTGAATACTTCTATACCTGCTTAATGTGCAATTTTAAGTAAGCCATTTGTAGGTTGATTTTGCCCAAAAAGTGTTAACACTCAGGCATCCCATTAGCCCAACAGTAACTTTTGCTCAACCAAATGGCACTTGGGGAGAGTTCAGGAAGCATGTTTGATATTTACTTGTTTGTTTGTTTGTTTATTTATTCTCTAAGCAACGAACCCCACCCCTAATCCTACCCATCTCTACCCCCTGATCCCTAACCCCTAATCCTACCCATCTCCACCCCCTGATGCCTAACCCCAACCTTAATCCTACCCATGTCCACCCCTTAGATCTGGATCCAACACCACCCCCTAGATCTCTACATCACTAACATCTAAATGTAACATCACTTGTTGGAGCATTAGTTTTGCTATATATTCTTTTACATTTGATTTATTTAGCTATATTCTTTTTTACATTCATTTTATATTTTATTTATTTTTTAATTAGTTTACCATCTCCATTATTTCAGGATCATTGAACAAAATGGTGGTCAGCCTCCCCTCACATACAAACGTTTCCAGACTCTTATCAGCCGAATGGACCCACCTGAGATGCCAGTGGAAACCCTCTCCAACACCATTATGGGCTGCTGCGTCACACCTGTCTCTGATGACCATGGGGACAAATATGGTGTGCCATCCCTGGAAGAACTAGGTGAGCTAAATGAGCTTTATCTGTCAGGTTTCAGGTGAATTTTAGTTAAGTCAGTTTGGAAAGGTGATTAAAATGAATTTTAAAAATAAAGATTCTCAGTATATTGGAAACCATTTTAAAATTAAATACACTTGACCTAAATGAAACAATCGCTGTGTCCATTTCCTGTGATCTAACAGATTCACAAGTTTCATAAACTGCAACATAAGAACCCATCAGGTTATGCAAGATTAGTATTGGTTCTTTAACCCACATTATCTTGATTCAGGATTTGACATTGAGGGACTACCTTCTGCTGTCTGGCCAGGAGGTGAAACAGAGGCATTAACAAGGATTGAAAGGCATCTGGAGCGAAAGGTGTGATCACATATAGATGTACAGCAGGGGACTCAAACTCTTATTACCTGGAGCCATATGCCTGGTGGTGTTTAACAGCTAAAACAAATTCAACAGATGGTAGTTTTACAACAATGAATTTTCACTATATAGGCCTGGTTTTACAGTTATTAATGGACCTTTTCAGATACATTAGACCAATGTTATGCTTTAACAGATCTATGGGAAAACAGGCTAAAAGTGAATTATTATGATTTTTTTGCTTTTAACTTCAGATATATTTAAAGAGCCCCTATCATAACATTTGAAATGTTCCTATTTTTGTTTTAGGAGTTTCCAAAATAGTTTAACGTGCATGCAAGGATAAAAAACACTTTATTTGTCTTATAATATGCATTTATTTTTAACTGATTTGCTCATTCAGTGAGCAAATCAGTTCGTTCGACGATTCATTTTCCCAAACACCTCCTTAATTGAGTGACGCGAATCTGTGGCGATTGGACAAATGACCCAGTCAGTTGTTATTGGTAAACCGTAGGCAGAGACTGTCGGCAACGGAAAGCCCATAACCAGGATTATAGCTTGTCAAGTGTTGAAAATTGTCTCGTTTCAAAAACAATTAATTTCTTAGACTCAGAGTCAAATCTCACTTTTGAAAGACAATAACTTTATATACGGTGCACTTTCAGATATAAATCTTTGTAGGTTGTTTTCATTCCCTTAGAGCTATATTCCACACTACATGAACAGTCATTTTCAAAAATCTCTTTAAAGAAGCACCACCTTAACAGGATAGTTCACCCAAAAATGTATATTGTCATTTGCTCACCCTCCTTTCTAAGACTTTACATTTTCCCTCCTTACTCATGTTTTTCCAGGCTTGGGTTGCAAATTTTGAAAGACCCAGAATGAATGCCAACTCTTTGTTGGCCAGTCCGACTGGCCTGAGTCCCTACCTCCGTTTCGGCTGCCTATCCTGCCGCCTCTTCTATTTTAAACTCACAGACCTCTACAGGAAGGTACAGACATGATTCTACACTATCTGTGTATAAACCTAGTGTGCTCACATTGTTTCACTTTTTAATACAGGTGAATTGATTAGGTGTGGGCGGTAATGCTATACATCTTATATAGGAATCTCAATGTTATTTTCTTCTGGAAAATTAAGCCTAAAATGCTTTATATGTTAGATAAATCAATATAAATATCTATGTGTGAAATTTCTCCTTTCAGGTAAAGAAAACCAGCACTCCTCCACTCTCCCTCTACGGTCAGCTGCTGTGGAGGGAATTTTTCTACACTGCTGCCACCACCAACCCACGATTTGATAAGATGGAAGGCAACCCGATCTGTGTGCGCATCCCCTGGGACAAGAACCCAGAGGCTTTGGCCAAGTGGGCTGAAGCTAAGACAGGTTTTCCCTGGATCGATGCTATCATGACCCAGTTGCGGCAGGAAGGCTGGATCCACCACCTGGCTCGTCATGCTGTCGCTTGTTTTCTCACTCGTGGCGACCTTTGGATCAGTTGGGAAGAGGGCATGAAGGTGCATCTCTTACATACATGCATATATGTATAAATGTGTGTCACCAGATCTCAACCCAATAGAGCATCTTTGGGATGTGGTGGAACGGGAGCTTTACAACATTTTATTAAAGTAAAAATGCTAAATAATAAAAAAAAGATAATTGATCTCATAGTACAACACTATATTAAGTTTTTTTTTTTTTAGACATTTATAATGAACATTTTTCACCGTATATATTGACCGTAATGAATTAAAATATATAGCTTCCTTTTAGGGTTGAGTCCCTTGCTCATGGAAGATCATATTGTGAGATCTGTGAAATTTAAAATATTAAAACTCGTGTTATAGAGCAGGGGTTAGCAAACTAATCCACATATTCGAATTTTTAAATTGCATGGCAAAAACCCTCTTTCAGCGTGTTTTATTAACTGAATAAGTCCCTTTACATGTGCAACCTATTGCAGAGAGAGAAGACTAGTTTCAACCACACCTTTTTCAATACGAGTTGATCCGTTCCTCTCTTTCAGTGGGCCGCTCTGCATGGGTCAGTTGAATAACACTGTCCCACTTGTGCTCATGGCGGTGATGCATTATGGTCTGCTTTTTTGTTCTCAGAATAATACGGTGAATACATGAGAAGGATGTTTAATGAGAATGAGATCTATTTATTGAAATTTAAAAATGGCACTTGTCATGTCAGAAAGGTTGGAATGAAAAGCCATGAAAAAAAAAAAAAAAGACTAACTGACTAACCCCAAACATTTTAATGGTAAGGCAATAGGTCTAATTTTAATGGGTCTGACTGCAATTTTATCAATATCAACCATCTCTGATCGGTTTCAGAGTAATGGTAGTTATGATTGACAGGTGTTTGAGGAGCTTCTTTTGGATGCTGACTGGAGCGTGAATGCAGGCAGCTGGATGTGGCTCTCCTGTAGCTCTTTCTTTCAACAGTTCTTTCATTGCTACTGTCCAGTGAGTTTCGGCAGGCGCACCGACCCTAACGGCGATTTCATTAGGTTGGTAACATTCCCAAACATGCACACTAATCCCTGGCTGAATTACCTGCTTTCACCAAAGGACCCTTGTTTAAAATCTAGAATGCATAAAAATTAACCAGATTAATAAAACAAGGCAACATTTAAAGTAACTACATTAGAAGAATGTATATGCATAATACACAACTTTTATTGTACTGTAGGGCAGTATTTTTCAGTATCATTTGAGGTCTAGAATTGTATAAGTACCTTCCTGTATAAATTAGTCAGGAAAGCTAGCCTGTCCCATGTAGTCTCTTTTTGTTTGAACTTTTCTACCTGAGGCCTTCTAGTTCCAGAATTTGGTATTCCATGATTTTCCCAACACATTATTGGCCACATCAAGAAACAGATGTTTGCTTGTGAACATTTCTTACCACATTTTGTAGCTCACATGTGTTTTATCCAAAAGGTTGTACTGTATGGTTTTGTGTTTCTTGTGTCTAGTTGTTTTGCGGATTGGGTGAAAAGTTCAGCTTTCCCTTTCCGCTTTGTGAATTGTGGTTGATTGGTTTTAAGACGAAAGCCCTTCTCAGCCAAAGCATTTGGAAACCTGTTAGCTGTGAATGTGGTTGGAAGCTTGATGCTTTATCAGTGGGAAATATAGTAGCCTGTTCTTTTTGCTCAGTAGCATCTTGTTTCATCAAAAGGTATTTTAACTGCTTGGTAGGAAAATATTCAAAGCATGGTCTGTTTGCATGACAGACCAGGTCGCAATGCATTTCCAGAGAGGATGACAGGAGGTGAAGCCCAACGCCAGAGCAAACGACTTTAATCTAGCTCTGGCACACGTCTCCTCATCAGACTCTTTTTGAAATGTTTAGCATTCTTCTAGGCGTTGAATGTAGCCCTACTTGTGCAAGAGAACAAGAGTCCTCGCCTTCAGCGCACCACCATCCCAGCGAAGTCGCTCACGGTCCATAGGTCATCCTGCAATTTCTCAAATCTGCTTCTGTAGATGTAACGTGTTTCTGGTCATTTGCATGTTCAAGCAGGATGTGACTGTTCCTGGTAAAAGGGGTCTGATCTCTTGGCAAAACGAGGGGGCCACCCAGCAGTAAAGGACAGTTTACTGTGTTTCTTCTTTGGCAGCTAGCAGGTTTCTCTGCTTTGGCTCGGGATCGCTGTCGTCTCAAAAACGATCAGTGGCAGTGCGAGGGGCAGGGAGCGAACTGAACCTCTCACTCAGCCCTGCGTTTCGATTTTTTTGAAGCGGGTGGGATGGGGTTGTGGGAGGGTGCTGTGTCATTGGATCTGGAGGTATTGGGAGGGTCTGGTCACTGCCTCTTTCTAATGCGTGTTGTAGTAGGAATCTCCGTAATAGGCGGGACCTGTTGCCCTGTTTAAACTGCGTCCGTCTGACTGCAAGCAGTGCCTCCTGCAGCCCTCTGTCCCCACGCTCTGGTAAGGTGGAGCACCTTAGGTAGGTGGCCTTTTCTGTCCCTGGGACCTGGAGGAGTGATGCAAGACCTGATTTTAGTAGAGCCTTACTGAATTTCCAGTTGTTTTCTCTTTTTGTTGTTGTGATGGTGTTGACCGTTTCATTAGTAGTATGAATTGGCTCATATCTATAAATTCACAAACTCAATTAAATGTGACTTACCATTGTGAGATTCTTGCAAATTAATCACTAACACGCTCCATTCTTGGTGCTTGTCGTAATCGGAGAAACCGTGTTCTTGTTCTAGCCACTTTTTCAAACCTGGGTACCCAATGACCATCTCGCGTAACCCTTCTCGTGTTTATGATGAGACTGGTTTAATCTCTTTGTACTTTCAGACGATATTTACCCATTCTCCGAGGTTTCCCTGCCAAATATATCTACGACCCGTGGAATGCCCCAGACTCAGTGCAGGCCGCTGCCAAGTGCATCATCGGCGTCCACTACCCCAAACCAATGGTAAACCACGCTGAAGCAAGCCGCCTCAATATCGAGAGGATGAAGCAGATCTACCAACAACTTTCCCGCTACAGAGGACTTGGCAAGAATTTTATTTCTTGTAACAAATAGCTAGCTTACATGTAATCACGTTTATCCCTGATTCTGAAAAGAAGCCTTGTGCAATTATGACTTCAAAATTTCCTGTATGAAACAGCTTTATGTGGAAATAGAGGAAAAGTGTTTGAAGTGCTAGCAAATTTATTGGTACATTATAGCAGTGGAGGACAATTCTACTTTTCATGTTTTTTCCAGGACTTCTGGCCTCCGTACCATCCACACACAACGGAAATGGGAATGGTATGGCGTACTACCAAGGGGAACAGCAGTCCGGGACCAATACACCAGGTGAAAGTCATTATTTTCCCCCTCCTTATTTGAGATTACAAAGTAGTAACAACTTCTACTTGTGGCCTATGACTAGTTATTTTTTCTTAAAAAGTCTGAGAAATAGTCACAGGGAACAAAGGATAACATAACTTTATGGCTAAGAACTTATTTTTTTATACCAAGGTTTCTATCTTGAATAATTGAATAATTGATTGTATTAATATATAATATACAATATTTTTTTATATATATATAGTATGATATATTATTATGTGCACGACACAGACACAAATGAATTTGTTTCCAAAACTTGTTAATTTTTGGCCACATTGTACTAATTAATTCCCCAAATTGTGACCATGATTTAACAAATTACTATATACTTATGTACTAACGAATTGACCTAAAATTGACCATGACCTAAAATTCTAAATTCTAAAAATCTATTCCCACGTTATCTTTGGGTTTTCCCCCCTGCATGTCATGTGCTGAGCACCATACTTATGTGGTTTAAATTGTTTTTATGACATCTCAATAGCACCAGCTGTATCGGGCAGTTCTGTTGCCAGTGGTAACAGGAGTGGAAGTATTCAGCTGAACTTTGTCAGTGAAGAACACAAGGGACCAAGTGGAATTCAGCAACAAAAACAGCAGCAATTAGGTGCCAACTTGAACACTAATATAATACACTACTAGCCTTATAGTTACAAAATATTATTTGCAAAATTAGCTGCAAGACATTATAATTTTTTTTTTCATGCTGTCCTTTTTCTCTTGCTTGTTTCCAAGGACAAGGATACCACTACATGCCTGACACGGAGCACAACAGTCAACTTTACCAATGTAATGTCTCACATGACATGGCAGGCCCCCAACATTCAGGTAATGGTCATGTATGTAATACGAGTATGATACAGTAAAACAAAATGGTTAAAAACATGTTTTTTAAGGAATAGTATAGTAAGTGGTAGAATGAACGGGTCATGTGTTGATTAAAAAGACGATGTTGATGTTTTTAGAAGTGGGGGACGGGGTTAGGCAGGTCGTTCCACCAGCAGTCCAAGTAACGGCCCGTGAAAGTGATTTTGTGTCTCTTTGGGATGGCACCACTATGTGCCATTCACTTGCAAAACGCAAGCTTCTGGAGGGCATGTAGGTCTGAAGTAATGAGTTTAGGTAATTGGATCCAGAGCCAGTGGTTGTTCTGTAGGCAAACATCAGTGCCTTGAATTTGATGCGAGCGACTGTTGGCAACCAGTGCAAATTGATTTTGAGGTGTGACGTGTGCTCTCTGCAGGACACCTGCTGCACACAGGTGGAAACGTGACAGGGAAGAGGGAGAGGGAGTCGGAACGAGATCTTGAAGGTGAAGATGACACCCTTTCCATCTCTCACAAGTTACAACGGAAAATTGCAGAGGTCACTCACTTTGGGAGCCAGTCAAGTATGGAAAAATGAACTCCGTTAAATCCTTACTGTACTGTATAAATACATATAAAAGATATCGCAATGCATTTGAGATGGATATGTTTCTGTTCTCTTTCCAGAAGAGTTAAATGGACATGTTGTACTGAGCAGAACCGATTCAAACGAAGCAGTCTGAATGGGACTGACTTTCTCCATTTGAGTTTAGATCTGTCACTTAAACAACTCCTGTTTCACACTGGACGCGCAAGCAGTGCGGTGGCAGCGCAGAAGCTGTGCGTATGCAGAGTGGGAGCAGCACGCGCCTGATGTGCTTTCACACTAGCTGTGTTTGTCACGCGCACGCTGAACCGCGGCTTGTGTACTGGAAATACAGGTGTATCGTCCATTCTGTCACCTTTTCCGGTGTTTTCCTCTGACCCTTGTCTGCAATGTGCTTTGATTTATGATAAGCAGCATACTCTGCTGGGATGCGACCGTGTTCCCCTCTGCCCCACACATGTAACATGCTGTATATAGGTTGTTTACATGATAAAAGCCATTTTAATATTACAATATCTTGTACCTCTAGTTTTAATTATTTTAACAGGCCTTTAAAGTTTGGGCAAAAGCTCCTGGCAGTGATGTTTTTTAAGTCTTTTTTTTCCCACAGAACTGAATGTCATATGGTGATTGTGAATATGATTTTATGATAAAATGTGTTATTTTTCATGTTAAACAGGTCAATTTCTATCAAGAACAATGCACTTTGGCTTTAATTCCGCGTGAGTGGCGCAGCAAAAATAGACTATAGCGCTGAAACAATCGCGACACTGCCTCATCTGCTTTGTTGCTGTGACACGCTGCCACGCCTGTTAACATGGCCGTCGGAAAAAAATATGCGCTGCTTGCTCTCTGTTTACGCGTGCGGTGTGAAACTGGCCTAAAGCTTTGGGAAAAATCAATTTGACATTTATTTTTATTTCTTCTTTTCCCCCCATTGTTTCTCTAATACCTAAACCCTTTACTCTTTTGGTTATCTTTGTGATTTTTTTTCATCATTGCACAGGGAAGGGTTTTGCTTACTGTCAAGTGAACCTTACCAATTGGGATAAATGTATCAGATTTGATCAAGCAGATCTGAGCTTCATTGTACACACATCGCAGCTAGGATTTTTTTAAGTATTTTTGCAGTTTGGCTGGCTCCAGCACCAGCCATCGGTTGAAAAAATAAACAATCGTCACAAAACACATTTGTACCTATTTCTCTGACATTTTCTCATTTTACAGTTTCACTGATTCTCAATCGAGTGGTGTATGTACCACTTTTTGTAAACACAAATTTATATAAACAGGCATATTTTTTTATTGGCGTTTAATTTTTTTTTATTGGCATGTCTTTGCCAGTTTAATGTATTAGTGTTTCAATTTACTCAGAATGCATATATATATATGGATCAAAAATGTTTTAAAATGGGGTTTAAAGATTTCTAGATTTCAAAACCATTCCCATGAATTGCTGATTTTAGACCCTCGTGTTTTAACCTATTTGTACATTCTATCAGGAACAAAACTTTGGTGGACCACAGTTCTTGAATGTTTTTAAATGGGCTACAATGGTCCATTAAATGCATCTATTCTATAGATTAGCTACAGTATCTTATTTCATGCTTCTGTCATGCTTGGCAGACACACATAGACAGCTGACCTTCACGGTCAGGCCTTAAACACTGATACACAAAAAAAGCTAAAACTCTGCCAAAGCCTGGAAATGACTCTGGAAAAGAATTTTCATTTATCACTGCATATGTGAAGCAAACATTTATGCATCTGTATGAAGGTAATGTATTAAAATGGAACGAGGACACCCTGTTGTCTCTATACCCTTAAAATCTCTTAAAATGTTTTTTTTCTTTTAATTGTATAAATCCCAAATATTTTAAATTTGTCTGTTTGTGCCTATTCAGGTAAAGCAAAACTATCTAGAAGCATCATCTGACAGTATTGGTTATAAAATGACATTTTTACATTGACATTCCAAAAAAAAAAAAAAAAAAAAAAAGCAAAACACTAAATTGACAATCACTTTTTTTGTTTTGTTTTTCATTGTGCTATTGGTTTTGATGCAGTCTTGTTTTCTTTTTTTCTTTCCTCTTCTGTAACTTAAAAAAATGAAAGTAATTATCATCTGATTTATAATCTAATCACACTGGCCTTTCTTCTCGGAAGGTAACTAATTAGGATTATGAAAATGTTTAGCCTCTGTCTAGACCTCAATTGCTCTATACCAAATGACTCCAACAGACCAAATATAATTTATCAGATTAAGCTGTTGTTTTTCCACCAGATTGCCCAGATTTTATTATTATTTTTAATTAATCTCTGGAAAAAACAACATTCTTTAAAATAATAATAATAATTTAGTACTAGCAAATCTTAGAACTAACAATATTAAGGATGGTGAGATGACTTGTGATAAATTCACCACAATGTACTGTCTCCAACCGATTTCTTAATGACAACTCGTGTGTGTATAAATAGACCACATGTTTGGCCCTAAAATTAACAGGTAGTTTATCATGGTGATCTGGCAACCTCTAACTGAACTGTATTAATAGCTGTTGGGCCTGAATTTGTTTGTGTTGCTGGATCTGCTTTGATACTGTAAATATGGCTGTTGCTGACCGTTCTAAAATGAATGTTTTCATATGGCATTTGTAGAGACCTCAGTGCTTTTTGAGTAACATCTGTGTTGTTATGCTTTGTCACAGCAAAAGTGAATCATTTCAGTTTTCTCTTTTTCTTTTTCTGTGAAATAAATGTGACGTTTAGTCTAAATCTTGTCCCCAAGTCTGTGTACAGCAAAACAAATTCAGTTTCAATTAGATTTATTAATTTTTGTTCTTACCAGTGTTTTTGTTTTACCAAATAATGGTAAACTTTGATCATGTGGCCCACCCTGCATGTATACACACTTCGTACCATTATTTCATAAAACACTTTTTTTTTTAAAATTTATTAAGAAAATGAATTAGGATATCAGGTAAAGCTCAGTTTTAGGGGAAGATTAAGGGCAAGGTAAGACAAAGAAAAATAAAGAGTGATGATAGAGCAGGATAATCTACTGCTCACATAATCTACTGACTTGTTTTTAAAGATATCCTTTTTTCCCCCCTTCAGACGACAAGCTAATCTTGCAATGAACAGCTGTGACCACTGGAGGGCACTGTTGATACTTTTTTTAAATTTCATTTTGCGTCGTGTGGGTTTGTTTGTCCTATGCCAGGGTTCGGTACTAACGTCGGTTCCGGAGAGTTTGGCTCCAACTCCGAAAAAACAACACCACCACCTGCTTGTTGTAATACCTTCATTACCTGTTTCAGGTGATTTGATTTGGAGCTAAACTCTGCAGGAGTCAGGGCCGACGTTTCCTCTGTCAATATAGGCTAGCATAAAAGACTACTTTTAAAATCATAAATAGACACACACACACATAAATATTTTGACGTGTCTTATCATGGATGTACGATGGAAATAGCCTACGTCCTCATATTTTGAGAATATGATAGTTTAGTTTTTCTAACACGAAGTGAGGAAAAAAAGTTTTCCTCTGTATTGCATCAACAACTATTGCTGTTCTGACTATTGAAGTTTGCAAAGCTTTTGTCATTTGACTTAAAAGTTAGAAGACTTGAGATTAAATTGAAAGAAAACTGACCAATACAATATCATATGATTTTTGGACTGAATATTAGGCTACTTCTGTTGTGATCTGTTTCTCACAACCAAAAGTGATTGTTGGACGGACTGTGTGGTTTATTCACACAGTGCAATTCTGTTCTCTATTGGAACCTTGGCACACAACAGGAAGGGAAAAAAGGGTTGAGATGTCCTGAGCCCTCGAGAAGCAGGGAAATGTGGCCTCCCCGGGAACCACTGCAGTTCCTACTCTTGTTTTTTAGATTGCCAAGTGCCTTGAATACACAAGTATGACAAGAAAGTGCAATGGAAAACTTTTTTTTCTATCCTTAAACTAGCATCGTGATTTAGTGAATCAGAATTAAACTCACTAGCATTTCCTGTCTTCTATATTCGCGGTGGTCCATGGCTCCGGTTGCGTTGTTTTTTCTGTGCCCAGTACCTCAGTCCAGACCCTGATTTGTATGTTAGTGTACTCAAGGGGCCAAAACTAGTTGCCACAGCAACCATGTTGAATCTCTCACGGACCCCCCGTCCCCTTCCACCCCCTCTCAGAACTCTGCGAAACAAAACAAACATTGTCCCTTAACAAGGCGCGGAGAGACAGCGTTCTGTTCAGAAGTGCAGGACATTCAGGTCATATTAGTCCTTCCTCGTTGAGTTTAGTCTGAGAATAAGAGAGAGCCTGCACACAGGACACTCACCACTTTCTCACGTCTGCTGAGGGTGACTTGAAACGGGAAGCCCTGGATTCACCCCACCAGTCTGTCATCTTGGCCATGCCAAAATAGCTCTGAAAGACACACAAATATTTGATGAATGCATCCTTCAGAGCTAAAGAATTGTCAGTAGCTGGGGTTCGAGTTCTGAGGCTTTCATCTGTTAATGCACATTTCAGTGCTAATGTAAAGTAAGCACACATTCTGAAAAATGAGGGTTCCAATTGGTTTTTGTAGTGATGCCATAGAACCATTTTCAGAACTCTACATTTCAGTGAACATTTACATTTACATTTTCTCTTGACCATAGGCTATATTGACAAAATACCATCTCAAAACATTGAATTAATGGCAATGCTTTTCTTAAAAGCATATCAGACATTTTCACTATTCATTAAATTCTGTAGGCTAATTAAGTATAAAACCATTTGAATTCACAATGTTGCTATTATGACATATCATCAGTTATAGTCAATTATACTATATTGATATGCCTATAAGTTAAATCTTTTAGATCCTTCTCTTTTACTGGGATTCTGCTTAGTTTGTCATCGATTATTCAACTATAGAAAAATGAAATTGTCAGAAAACCACAAAAAAGGACTATATAGTATATAAGGAAATATATAAATATTAAAAAGAATGATATCAAAAGTCATTTCTATTCTCTACAGTACATGTTAAACCCAAACTGACAGTCCTGGAAGTTCCCTCAATAACTCATGACATACTGACTGTTTGACAGACCACATTTAACAATGTGAAAGCTGTCATGCTTAATTGAACAGTGAAACGAAGTACCTTTGAATGTAATTAATTTAACATGAAGCAAATAGCAATTTTACTTCCCAAATCCAAAAACGAACGTCAGAACTACCTCTCCTAATGGATGTGTTTTGTTTAATTTCGATGATTTACTGTAGTATAATGCTTCCTGTCGCGTTGACATGGAGTGTTGTGAGGTGAGTTGTTGATTTGTGGCACAAACTTCATTACAGGGAACAGAGCCTCGTCTGTTCTCCTTCAGTCATTATGGCCAGTGGAGCTCCTCTCTTAAAGCCCTGCTCAATTCTCTAATGAGGCCATTCTCTACCTCTCTCACTTGTCTTCTGAATCTCTGACAGGCTCTGAGTGTTAGCCAAAACCACAACCCCCCCTCCCCCCATGTCGGTCTAAACATTTGAGTCTTTGATTCGGATTATGATCTTTCACGGTCGTCAATGTTAGATGATCAGCTTGAAGATGAGTTTTTTGAGATCCTGTCTGCAAAAACACTTCTTTTATATGGCCAATGACTCCTTTGAGCGTCTATACTCGCTTCCACATGCACTGGTCAGCACACCGACGAACATGACAAGCATACAAACGTTGTACTATTGACAAATTCTTTGATTCCTTCATTGACAAGAAAAGGTGACAAATCCAAGTGGGTTTTTTGTTCACATTTGGCCATTCTGGAAAAACACGTGAATTTTTTCGACGGTATCTTGGCAACTCAGCCGTAGTCTGGGCATTGATATTCACAGTAGTAGCCTCCATCTCCTTTTCAGAACAATAGGAACCTTATGGGAATGAACAAACCAAGTCTGCGAGGACAAATCTTCTCCCTCAGGCCTTGATGGACTGACATTTGAGAGATTATTTCACTATTATTGACACTATTCACTATTATTGTCACTATATTGACACTATTTCTTGCAATTTCAAAGATGAATGAGACAACATTAATTATTTAAAGGCATTTATTGAATAGAGTTTGATAAACCGTTTATGAACTTTTAAAGAATTTCCTTATGAAAGCAACTATGTGCAAAAGTTTCACTGGTCCCTTGACAAGATTCGCCATTCAATTTCTGTCTTTTCATACAACCATACTACATAACAGGGTTTTTGCTTTCAAAAATAATCTATTTACATTCTAAAACAGAGTGCTTATATACAGTACAGAAGTTGACAATCAACAACGTAGAAGAATGGTTCAGTGGTTATGAAAAAGTGGCATT